ACTATTAATAATCATTAAAATTTTGAAAAAAACCATGAAAAGAAAAAAGAATAAAATTTTTAAACAGCATGAAAATATAGAAAAAGATAATTTTTTTTTTAAAGACAGAACAACTCATCTCACTTCCTCTTCTATATCAGTTTTTCCTCTTTGGGAGAAAAGGACTTCTCCGTCAACATAATTCATCATGTCGGATGTTCTTCTCGAACATTAGGGCGGAGTTCTTCTCCAACAGCCCGCCCCATTCCCATCCCACTGACCTCTGTTGTTTTACAGTCGTCCTCGTCGGCGGCGGAACTCTTCGACAACAAAATGGGGAGCTCTAAATCAAAATCCCCATCCAAAAAACCATTTTTCTCTACTGCGAAGCCAACAAAGAAGGTTAGTGTAGTTTATTAGGGGTTCTTTCTTTTAGAAATTTTTATTTCCCATATGTCCTTTTCACTTCTAGTAACCCCTGATTATATCTCATCGGCGAAAGCCCTATCAATCGGCTTAATTTAAGATAGATCAGCGTTTTCCCTCACCATAAGGCTCTCCAACCACCCGCTCACCACCTCCATACCCCTATACATTGACGCAGATTCGTATGGACAGTGGGCCCCGCACTTACCACTACGGTGTCTCGAACTGGCAGTGGGAGCAAATACAAGAAAAGAAATCGAAACAGTTGTTGTTAGATTTTGATTAATTTTATGTCCCACATCGGATGTGTACCAAAGACGTGTAGGATCTTTTTAGTATAAATAGGTCCCTTGTCTTTGGGTTACAATTGCACCTTATTTTATTCTCTCCTATCTTAGAAGGAAATCCTAATTTGTAGGCTATTTAACCCTAGTTGTATTGTTGGTGAGTTTAGTAAATTTTTGGCGTTGCAGTTGGCGGTGCTCAGAAACGTAGGCTATTTTCACCGAACTCCGTTATCAATTTTTTTGTTCTTTTTATTTATCGTCTTTTTATTTGTGTTGGCTTATGTGTTTGCCATATTTGTTGGAGGAGTAATTTTGTCCCCTGCGCTTGTTGTGATACCCCAACTAGTGGTATCAGAGCCGAAGGTTCATCCTCGGCTCATTCGGAGATGCGAGCACTGCATTTGGGTCCGAGATGTCCAAGGAGGTCAAGGGCGCATCATCCTCTGCATTCATTCCGGCAAGGACTGTGATGTCGAACGTCAGATTCCCGGTGGAGATCTTTGATGGGACCGGTCATTTCGGCATGTGGCAACGTGAGGTGTTGGATTGTCTATTTCAACAAGGCATCGACATTGCCATTGAATTAAAAAAGCCAACCGACGTTGACGAAAAGGACTGGAAGAATATCAATCGCTTAGCATGTGGAACAATCTGTTCGTGTTTGTCGAGGGAGCAGAAGTACGCGTTTAAGAATGAGAGCTCTACTCACACTCTGTGGAAGGCTTTGGAGGATGAATTTTCAAAGAAAGTGGCCAGAATAAGCTCCTCATGAAGAAGCCATTATTTCGATTTGATTTCCGACATGACACATCGATGAATGACCACGTCACTGCATTCAATCAGTTGGTTGCAGATTTTTGAATTTGGGCGTCACATTCAGCGATGAAGATTTGGCTCTAATGTTGTTATCATCACTTCCAGACGACTTCGAGCACTTAGAGATTACACTGCTCCATGAGAAGGACAATATAACTCTTACAGTGGTCAGTTCTGCTCTATATAACTACGAGTTGAGGAAGAAGAACAAACAAGAGACGAAGAATGCATCAGTAGAAGATGAAGCATTGGTTGCAAGAGGTCTGTCGAAGAGCCAAAAGAAGAATGGACGAGAAAGATCACGTCCTTAAGCCAAGCTTGAAAAAGACGAGTGTGCTTTCTGCCATGAGAAGGATCGCAAGAAAAAAGACTGTCTCAAGTTGAAGAAGAAGGGAAAATTTCATCAAGATGCAATGTTGCCGAAGGTGTAAGTGAAGACTCAGAATTTCCACTTGTGGTTTCACCTTCATCATCTCATCCAGGCGAATGGACTTTGGATTCAGAATGCACCTAAGGGAGTGGTTCTTTGATTTTCATGAGACCAATGGAGGGGTTGTCTATATGGGTAATGATAACGCCTGTAAGACAATTGAGATAGGTTCAATCTGTTTGAAGAATCGCGATGGTTCCACTAGAGTTTTGACGGACGTTCGGTACGTGTCGAGTTTGAAGAAAAATCTCATCTCATTAGGAGCCTTGGAATCCAAAGGCTTGGTAGTGACTTTGCAAGATAGAGTTATGAAGGCTACATCTAACTTGCTCGTGGTGATGAAAGGCATCATGAGGAATAATTTGTATTACTATGAAGGTGATACAGTTGTTGGGACAGTAACAATAGCATATTCCACCAACAAGGAGTCTGAAGCAGTCAAGTTGTGGCATATGCGGCTAGGACATGCTGGTGAAAGTCCTTGCAAACATTGGAAAAAACAAGGAGTGTAGAAAAACGTCAAAGTGTGCAAAGTAGACTTTTGTGAGCAATGTGTTCTAGGAAAGGAAAAGAGAGTGAAGTCTGGAACAACTATCCATAATATCGAAGGTGTATTCAATTATGTTCATTCGGACATGTGGGGACCTTCTAAGACCCCATCATTACGAAAGACGCTATTTTGTCACTTTTACTGATGACTTTTTCAGACGTATTTGATTGTACACTATGAAGACGAAGGATGAAGTGCTTGGTGCCTTCATCCTAAGTGCTTGGTGAGTTAGAGTTTACAAATGTCAAAGTTTCGTAGAGATGTCGCCGTCTCTACGAAACATGGTGTCTTCATCCTAACTTTAACTACACATACTATTGGATATATATTTTCCTAAGGGTTTGGTGAGTTTAATAAATTTGGCATTGCGGTTGGCGGTGCCCGGAGGCGTAGGCTATTTTCGCCGAACTCTGTTACCAATTTTTGTGTTCTTTTTATTTCTCATTTTTTTATTTATGTTGGCTTATTTTCATTTGGAGTAGTGTTTGCCATATTTTTTGGATGGATAATCTTGTCTGCTGCGCTTGTCGTGATACCCCAACAGTTTCAGAAAGCCCGCCTTGCCCGAGAATGCCATATATGAGATGAAGAAGTGGGACGAGTTCAAAGCCGCCTTATTTCTTTCCTACTCCTCCTTAGTTAGTTCCTACTCTAATTTTTCAGGAATTTTGGACCAGGCTTATAAGAAACTTTGATTTTCTGCTAGCCCGACACTAACTCTTCGATATATCTCTTGCTCCATCAAGGAGTTTGAGCGCCCCTGAGAGGCCACTGAGAAGCAACCTAATTTGTTCTCCGTGAGTGCCGACGAGCAGCTGTAGGTGCTGACGGACTTGTTTCAAAAGCCCAGCGATCTGGACCTGTGGTTGGAAAGGGATGGGCCGAAATTATTCAAGTACAATAACGAGATGGCGTCTTCTAGGTTTTTTCCAATATGGGTTGTTCATAGAGACAAAATGTATGGGAAATTGGTTATTGCTTCAGAACAATCGAATGGCTTGTGTATGGGAGAAGAATCGGTCCTTAGCCTGGTAGGTGGACATGTTGGTGAAATGGGTCTACAAATTAAAACATTGGGATTGTATAAGAATTCGATGCTAAATCTGAAGTGTTCTGTTGGAGTTGTTGACCGCAGAGTTCATGCAGTTTGTCGCATGTTGTGTTCTGCTTTTTCATTTGTATTTCTGTTATTTCGGTTTTTTCCTTAGTTTCATTTTCTTTACGCATGAGTGCGAATTTATAAGTTAGGGTGAGTTCTTATAAACTAAACGACATCGTATTTTCCCTGTGCATGTTTTGCATGTGCAAATAGGGTATTTAGCTATGTTAGCTTGCATGTATGGTTTTTTCATAACCGAAATGAGAGTGTGAAAATTCTGCAATCTTCTCCTTTTGATTTCTTTATGGTATAATGAGTAGACGAGCCTGGTCGATAGAATTGAAGAAGGTTCTTAACTTCTGTTGTGTTA